TAACCACTGCTGGGGAATTCTGGGAGTTGAAGTCCAGACATCTTCAAGTTGACAAGGTTGAGAAACACTGTCCTAACCACTGCTGGGGAATTCTGGGAGTTGAAATCCGGACATCTTCAAGTTGCCAAGGTTGACAAACACTGCTCTAAAGGCGGATTTAGCTATGAAATGCAGGACGGTTCACGAAGAGATCCAGATTCTGCAAAGCTCCTGTGGCGGAATTGGCTTTTTTAACACCTTCCTCGCCCAAGAGGCCATTGGCCAAAGAAAGCCTCTTACCTTGGCGGCGTTATTGAAACGGGGCGGCGGAGACGCAGGACGCGGTCCTCCTTCCTGTCTTATGCTGGGGGAGAGAAACGGAGGGAGGGTTTAAAAATAGGTTGTTTTAAAACTCCCCCCCCTTTCAACAGCCGCCTGTTGCAGGTACGCGAAGAGTAGAGGGTCCCACCCACCCACCTTAACAAGGAGCAGCCCAGATTCACAGCCGTCCTCCCCATCCAGGAGATTCGAACCCATACTGGAAGCCCTACCTTGGGCGAGTCGGGAGTGCCAGAGGGAAACTTGGGATATAGGTGCTGGGAGCAAAGTCCGAGGAGGGATATCGGGCAGGCAGAGGAGCGGCCACAGGGTCACTCGGGCTTCGGCCTGGGCTCCTCCCTTCGCCGTCTCCCAGGTTCTGGGGTTTCCTGGCCCTGGAAAGAGCAACCGGATCCTCCCGGCGGTTGTTGGGAGTGGCCAGCTGGATGCGCCGGGCTGCCACCTGCGAGTAGCTCCTTGGAGCAGGCTGGAAAGGCGGCTTCTGCTGAAGCTGCTCCAGGTAGTGAGGAGGGAGCTCACCTGGGGCAGAAGGGAGAGAGGGAAGACTTCGCGGGGACCACGGGGGAAAGGGAGGACGCGCCGGGCCTGGGCTCCACCAGGAGGGCCGGAAGACCCCAATTGTCACACACACACACCCCAGCCCAGTTCTGATGAGGGAGGCAACCCTTTGCCCAGGACTCTCCTCCTTGGTGGGTGCCCGGAGGAGCCGCGTCTGCTCTGTAGGCCCTGCAGTTTGGCCTCCAAACGGCGTACCTTGATGCCGGATGGGTCTTCTGAGGAGATCCGGAGACTCGGTCCTCAGAGAGCTTTCCGGGACCGGAGACCCTGACGGCACAGGCGTTCCTCCGCTCGAGGGGGCGGTGGCTGGGCGCAAGTCACACTGGTCCTGGGTTGAGAGAAAGCGCTGCGGTCGCTGCCCTGCCCCCCCCCCCTTGCCAGCCCGCCCATCACTCAGCCCAGAGGGCTTCGCGGCTCTCCGTACCTGGTGGTGGAACAGGATCTCCTCCTCCAGCTGGACCCCACAGAACTCGCAAGGGAGCAGGAGGCTGTCCTGCATGCCGTGCTGGGGGGGAAGGGTCTCCCCGCTGCCCGCAGAGCGACTGCCGGGCAGCTCCCCCCACAGGCTGCTCCGGGATTCCGCCGGTGGCACCAGGCTGCTCCTCTTGCTGAAGGAGGCCAAGGCACTCGCGGGGTTGCAGCCCGTCTGTCGTCAAAGAAGCAAAGCGTTCGGCTCAAACTGCCTCGGACGGCAGCGGGAAAATTAAGGAGGCAACGAGGAAGGGGGGAAATATCTTCCCAGCCCCTCTCCTCTGCCTTGGTCAGCTTCCCCCGCCTCCTCTCCCTCAGGCCCACCTGGTGAAGGATGAGGTCTCCCTCGGGGTACAGCTCCTCGCAGAATTCGCAAGGCAGCAGGGTCTCCGCTGAAGGATGAGAGAGAGAGTCATACAACTTCAAACTCGGTTACAACCATCCAGCTGCTGCCTCCTCCTCCTCCAAAATTCTCCTCCCTCCCACAGGCGACGACTCCTCCTCCTCCGCCAAGGACGAGGAACCACCCAAGAGCAGTTTGCTCTGCTCTTCAGAGCGCCAAAGACAGAAACCAAGCCCGGAGGAACTTAGGAGTAGGGCCCTTGGGCTTCTTTCTACACAGCATGCCCCTTCCTCTCCCCGCAATCCCTGGGTAAGCAACCAGGAACACCGGCGTACTTTTGGGCCTGTTCAGGTTGTTGGCTGCTCGCAGCAAATCTTGAGAGGGGTCCCTGGAGTTCTTCGCTTTGCCACAGTGGTCAGCTGGCCCGGCCTGCGGGGGACAGATGTTCTTCCAGAGTTCTCTCTGGAGCTCCGCCACGCTGCGTTGGCCGAAGCTGTTTTCCTGCTGCAAGCTGAGCGCCAGCAGGTAATCCAAGTTGTAGTCGGACTCTCCGTCCCCAGGCGAGAGCGGTGGGGCGGCCTTTTCCGGACAGGCTTCAGGGAAGAAACACCGAAGAGCGTGAGAAGTAAACCTGCCCCCCTTCATCCCAGGCAACCCAACACAAGGAGGCCGAGAGCGGCTTTTGAAGCCTCCGGAAAGAGAATAGCAATAGCAATAGGAGTTCGACTTATATACCGCTTCATATGGCTTTCAGCCCTCTCTAAGCGGTTTACAGAGTCAGCATAT